AACAACCTCTAACCACGCGCAGGCCCCCAAGACGGCATCCTCGACATCCTCGCCAGCAGCACCGGCGCCCCCCCCCCCCCCCCCAACCCCAACACCCCCCGCCCCCCCCCCCGCCCCCATTCCTTGTAGAGGCTTTCACACGCAGCGTGGCTTGTCGAGCGAGTATAGACGGGACGCCGTACGGAAATTCAGTAGTAGGGCTGTGGTGATGACTTGCAGATTTGCTCCGCGGCGTCGCTTAGCAAGCGAAGGTAGATGTGTGTTGCCGATTTCTACTGTCGCGGTGCGTTTTGCATACATGCCTGGTCTTCGATGAGCTCAGCGTGGGAGTTGGGACTATTGCCGCGGAGCGCCCGTAAGCTGGGAATGGTGGGCTTGAGGAAAGGAAGTGCGACAGTGTTTGGTGGATGGATTGGTAGAGATGTACATGCAGAAGATATCTGCATGACGGTTTGCAGTATCTTGTTGTCGCTCTTAGCTATATGTATACGGATTGAGACTACGAGAGAGCTTCCAATATACTCCTTCACGCCACGGCTCTACGTTCTTTTGACATCATACTATCTAGTGTGTTTGCAAAGAAAAAAACTATTCGTGTTCTCAGGGCTTCTACAAGTCGTATAGTCTGCTGCTCGTAGTGCTTGAGACCTGCATTTTAAGTAAAGAATTTCCTCGAAAAGGAGATCCACGGTTCCAAAACAAACAAAGGTTTTGAGCCTTTTGCAATTGCTCTTAACATTTTCATTCCACTACATATCCACACTTATATACACATCCACATACGTACCCCTAGTTGACGCACTATCTACGATATCAATCCCCAAGTCTGGGTCAAAGGCGCACTCTATCGTTGTTGATTGATAACCAGTCAGTGTGGTTCAGCCCAGCAGCGAGGATCTGCACCCATTCTAATATTCGTAGTATACTGTTGCAAAAAACGACAGACTCGATGAGTTTGGAAGAAGCCGGTCCAGTGTAAAAGACGAAATAAGTTGCCCATAGATTTATTGGACATTATCTTGTCGCTGTAACGCGCCTCTTCATCTACTGTACTATTGTAAGACGTAAAAGAGAAACATCAACGACTTCTCATAGCTTACCTTAGCTTACTTATCAACACCACAACCCTAGAAAGAGATTATTTAGTAATAGCACCTACACCATGACCTTCATACCAAGACTCCCTCCACGACACCATACCATACCACACCAACTACCACTCACCAAACTACAACATCACATTAAACGTCTTGATCTCACCCTGACGACAATAACCACAAAGATTGAAGCGTACACAACGCCGAAGCGCGTATCTATCCATTTATACAAAAGCCACACAACCTATGCTCATTCTATTTACTCTTCTCATCATCCATTTCGATTCCATTCTCGCAACGTAAACAAGGCATGACGCTGGAAATCTGCCAGAAGGCCAGATCGATGTCAAACACAACGGTAAACAGATTTCAATGACAACCCACAAACGCCAGAGAAATGCCAACCAAACATCGCTATCAACAACCATGCATTGTCTCCAACTTTTTTCCCTTTTCTACCTCACCACCTCACCACCTTCAAATACCGCGGAGTCAATCACAATCACGAAAACTCAACACGACTCCCCCCCAACCTCGCCTGCTTAGCCTGCGCCCTTTCCGCTCTCCGTCTCCTCCTGTTAGAATCATAATTACTAAGATCCGTCTCAGTACCATACACAGGACTACTAAGCACCGTATCCGCCGCAGCAGGAATAGGAGGCGGAGGAGGGAAATTCGCTTGATCAGGCGCTAGATGCTGTTGCTGTTGGCCATTACCGAACATAGGTGGAGGGCCTGGCGGAGGCGGAGGAATAGTAGCTTCAGGCATGCGCAAGGTGCTCGAACTGGGCATGGGCATAGGCGGAGGAGGAGCACCGGATTGTTGAGCCATTTCCGCGGCTTGAGCAGCTTCCATGGCTTCTGTTCTGCGCCAGCGGTCGCCGCCGACGCCGCTCATGGAACTTACGCTGCCGGCGCGGTTTTTGCGTTGGCGTTCGCGGCGGCGGGCTTCGCGTTCTGCGGCGGCTTCTTCTTCGTTGAGGCGGCGGAGGGTTACGTGGCGGCCGTCGTTGTGCATCTTGACTTTGACGGATACGGGAGGCGAGGCTACGTCGTCTCTGCTGCCGCGGCGTTCCCGTTTGGTGGGTGAGCCGGCGGAAGTGACTGTAGCTGCTGCTGCTGCACCGGCAGGTATTATTGGTGCGTCTCCCGTGCGGCGTCGGCTGTGGTGACGGCCTCCAGGTGAGTCGTAAGCTTCGGAACCGGAATCTGACAAGACACTGTAGACACCGGCGCGAGGGGGACGACTGGGGTTGGGCGTGACGGTAGAATCCATGGGTCGAGATGGGCGCTGCGCTACTGAGGGTGTAATGCCGGTCATATCGCTCTCAGATAGAATGGTGGACGGTGCTCTATGGCCTCTCCTTGGAGGTGCTCCATCACCCGTGTACTTTTTGCGGCGTTGGCTGTTCATGCGGGCGACCCGTTCCTCTTCCAGATCTTGTTGTCTCATCTCTTCCACGCGGTCGTCTTCCTTCTTCTTGCTGCGCTTGCTGAGAGAATGCTTCAGGAAACCGACGACTCCCATCGTAGCGACACCCTCCTTTAGTCCATACTGTCGATCCCTAGGCCTCATCTCAGTCTCTTCGCTGAGGCTTGTCCGGCTATCAAAAGAGTCAATGGAGGTGACACTTCCATTTGTGCGGTGACCAGGTCGCATAGCACTTCCAGACAAAGCCGATGCTTGTGGGTTGTCTCGACGCCAGTCGTTTCGACGGTTTGCTGGAGATTCGGGTGCCCTTCCTTCTTCGAGTCTGGAGATGTCGGTCTGAGTGACTTCGGAGGGTCCCAATGGGCGGCTGTAACTGAAGTCGCTCCCTGTCTCGGTCGGAGGATGCTTTGGTTTGCGATTGAATAGTTTCTTGACGGCGAAAATACCACCAGCTGCAGCCCCAACTCCTAGGAGCTTGTCCTTCCATGTAGAACCTTTGTTGCCATCGGCACGGTATTTCTCATCGCTCAAGTACGATTCAGTGAACTCAGAGTCGGCGACACGAGAGCGGGAATCACGGCGGGACCGAGAGTCGGGTCGGGAACTCAGAACTGTGCCACCGTGCCTGCTGCGGGTGCGGCTTCGAGATCTTCTTGACCCCAGCGCGGCTAATCCTGCACCGGCTGCTCCCGCTGCTGCGAGCTTTCCAGCGCCGGGGCCTCTGCTCGTGCGTCGACTTATTCTGGTACTGTATGAGCGGTCGGTGATGTAGGTGCTACGGTCATCAAAGTCCATCTCGGGCTGGGTCCTGTAGGAAAGGACGAAGTAGAGGATGACTAGGATGAAAGTCCACACTGCGAAAAGGATGAACAAGGCCAGTGGTGATCCGTATAGTGTCAGACCAAGTGGGATCTGGGCAAGTCCAAGCAGTGCAATAGTGCGGCCTAGCCATTGATGAATCTACATAAGTTAGTCTTTGCCGCAATTGCGCTTTTTGTTTACTTACCATAAGCTTGAGAGGGATCTTGAATCGCTCCTTGCCCTTTTCTAGCTTATGAATGAGAGCGCCACCAAGGAATTGAACCATAACAAGAGTGTATAGCGCAACGCCGATGCCATGGTGAGGGTTGGTCAGAGACCTCTCGAGGCCAACAGCTTGGAAGCTGCAGACGATGGCAGCAGTCGAGAGTAGGACTGCTGCTACCTGCAACCAGATGTGGACTCGCAGGGCGGTTCGTGGGTTGCGATGGTAGAAGCGAGCCATGAAGATAGCTGCGGGTATTACGAATAGGAAAGCAATGACTGCTAGTACGCCGTGGGCTATGATGAGAGCCTTGTAGCTGGCCATGCTGCGGAAGCGATTGCCCATGCCTGAGTAGTCAGTCTCTGTGTTCGTTTTTTTTTTAACAACGAAGATTCTTACCATTCAATCGCATCGTCTCAAAGTTGGGGGCTTGCAAGTTGGGCAACAGAAAAGTGTTGCGCTGCGAGTCCCATGTGCCATCTCCCACATGCATCGTGGCCGAGTCGTAGACGCTCGACCCAGGGTCCGAGAGTTGGTTTGACATTATCGCAATAATGTTCCGTTTCGCGCTCAATAGTCAATTCCTTCAGAAACAGTCGTAAGGTAGATGCGTAAGTCGTTAAACACACCAGGCTGACGGACGAGGTAACGACAGAAAACCGGATTCTCGCTAACAACGCAGGCAAGCAACAATACGTGGAAACAGAGAGTCGTAACGTCGTGACAGGCGTAAGAATAGCGAAAGTAGGCCGGGACGAGGTGGTATAGTCGTGCAGTCGTGTAGAGCGTGTCCGGTTGGACAGCTCGCGGTGGTGGGGGAACGTCAGCTCCTGGCGCCGTGCAATGGACGTCGATGGGAAGAAGCGGTTTCTTGACTGCAGGGAGCAAAAGTCTTCTCTTCGGTGCTGCAGCTGCAGATGTCACGAAAGGATGGAATCGGTAGCCAGCTCAATTAGCTCGTCGAGGGCTCCACCAGCCGCATGTTTATGGGTGGAATGGCCTGGCAACGTAATCGATAGGTTGAAGGGCGGTGAGTGGCTGGGGCCGGCCAACCACAGCCCGCCGCACCCCTGCACCCAGCCGCCCAGTTTCTGAGACGACTCGAATTTCTGGTTTCCGAGGCCGATTGATTAGCTCGGCACGCTGCTGGCCGCTGCTCTTGGGCGTGCATGCGCTGGCAGTGAGGCGAACCGTCACTAGGCCTTAGGGGACTTGCTCAAGCACCGTGTTCGCAGGTGCATGGCCACGAATTAGAAGACGGGTCAACACGAGTCGATTGCGCAGAGAAAAAGTCGTTTCAAGCAGTGGTATCTCGAGTCCATAACGCCGTAACAAGCCCAACACACGCTCACCGCAAGGGCGTCATCCCTCAACATCCAACATGTCCCTTAGCGCCTTTTCAGACGCTCGGAGCCATCTGCCTCTCTCTTCTAGTTCATCTCCGATTCCACCGCCCTCTTCCTTCCGTCTCCGGGCCTCTCTAGCTGCCGCGACGGTTCCCTGTTTCTGCGTCTCCAGCGGCCTCAGCTCGCGCTCCAGCTTCTCCAAGTCTCTGGTTCGGTTCGGGATGGTAGCCTGCAGACTTGCGATCTGCGCATTCAGGGCTGCGAGCTCTGCCTCCCGTTCGCTGAGCACTCGCTGAGTTTCTGGAAGTGGGAGAGACAGCTCAGGGTTCGTCGAGACTGGTGTTTGCTCGTGCTTCAACTGCTCAATGGTCGCTTCCAGGCCAGCAATCTCAGTCGGAAGTGACTCAAGCTGTTGCGTACGTAGTTGGAGACCCTCATAGCGCAGTGCGAGCTCTTTTCCCTTGTCCTCCAGCTGCTTCAGGATCTCGGCTACCTCCAACTTGCGCTCCTTGAGCTCTGCCTTGAGACCCAGTATCTCCTTTTCCTTCTCGTCGTTCTCGTGCGCGTCGACCAGGCGGGGTGGGTTCTCCGTTATGCTGCGCAGGAACTTCTCCTTGGTGACCTGCTCGACGTAGCTGAAGCGTAGCTTGCTGAAGAGTTCCTGCAACAATGTTAGGCCTGTATCTCTCTCATGGCATTTCGAAGACGCGTACTTTGTAATGTAATAGATCAGCCTCGAGGGCAGCCGGATGAGTGTCACCATTCTGCTCGCTGTCCTCCGACGCCGCCGAGTTGCGCTTCTTCGCGGCCTGTGGGAGATCCTTTGGCGACAGTGTCTCTGCAATAGCCAAGAGCTTGAGTGACTTTGACTGCTGCAACTGTTCCAACACTGCGGCTGGTGTTGGCGCTGCTGATTTCCGCTTGGGTCCCATTGTGCTTGTTGTAAATGAACTGGAGGATTGAATGTTTGTTTGGGATCGCGAATGCCCGCGTAGGGCTGAGTTCCCCGCGGCGACTACCGCATGCAGCTAGCACGGCCCGCCGCGTGGAATGATTTCACATGGCCGCCCGGGATCTCGCAAGGTCAGACTTCTGCGACCCTTCATCTCTACCCCAACAACAGTCGCCCATCATGGCCAGGGACCTGAATGACGACGCGTACATCGCAGAGCTTCTGAAAGAGGATGCAAAGAAAGCGACCAAGACATACGAACTCGTTGGCATCGATGCCTTCAACCCGAGGTGCGTCATGAGCCTCCGTACACGCTGTGCAGTCGCATGAGCGTTGAAAGTACATGAGCACTCCATTATGAGACTGCTCGTGCTAATATTCTATAGGATGAAGTCTCGCGCACCTAGACCGAACAAAGGCTTCCTGCAACACCTCATCCGACAGACTGACAGCCACAACTCTGCGCTCCTTGCTAAAGAGGCTGCCGAGTCTCGCGCCCGACTCAGGATGATGGATCGGGAGAAACGACAGGCGGTAGGACAAGGGGGCGCATGCGCGCCAAGCCGATCCGATGTCGAAAGCGCGGGCAACCAGGGACGGTTGGCGCCATCAGGAAGCGACATCGACCGCGAAGCAGAGTCAAGCAGACGACAAGATCGCGGCAAGGACGAGGGTAGGCATAGGAAGAGGCGCGGAGAAAGAGAGGAAGATGGTTCGACGACCCCGATATCTCGACGACATCGAGACCGAAGCACAGATGGACACCGACACAAGAGGAGACACGATAGTGAAGACGAAGACCAGTCCAAACGGAAACGGAGACGATCAAAGTCGCCCCGAGACAGATCGCGTAAAGACAAATACACTAAAGAGCAAGAACGCTACAAGCCCCGGGGAAGAGACCACAAGGACCGCGAGCACTCAGGGCGCACATCGCACCGTCGAACATCTTCGCGGTCACGGTCACAATCACAATCACCCCATTCCTCCAAGCACAGAAAACACAGCCGACACCGAGACCGGACTCGCTCCCTCAGCCCAAAACGCAAATCCACCACCTCCAAACCACCCAAACCCAGCCGCCACACCACCAAACGCACGCCCTCCCCAGCATCCTCCTCCTCCGACCCCCTCGAAGCCATCGTCGGCCCCCTCCCTCCCCCGCGCTCACCGCCCGTCCGCTCCAAAGGCCGCAACGCGTACAAACCGCAAAACGGCGGCATCGAATCGCGCTTCTCCTCCTCCTACGATCCCACCACAGACGTGCGCCCGGCATCCGACGTAGAAGACGACTGGGGCGACGCCCTAGAGGCACTGCGTGACCGAGCGCGCTGGCAGCAACAAGGCGCCGATCGACTCAAGCAAGCTGGGTTTACGGATGATCAGGTGAGGAAGTGGGAGAGGGGGGATGTGCAGGGGGAAGAGGACGTGGTGTGGAGGAAGAAGGGGGAGGGAAGGGAGTGGGATAGAGGGAAGGTTGTTGATGAGGAGGGGGATGTGGATGTTAGGGCTGATTTTGGACGGTTGAAGTGATGATGAGATTGAACTTGGTTTGCATAGCAAGAGCAAATGGTATCTCGGCGAAGATACAACGGCATACCCTAGTTCTCTCTCCTAGTCCCAACATTACTACCATCACACCTCCCTCCCCCTCTTCATCCTCTTCATCCTCCTCCCTCACACCTCCTTCCCCAACCCATCCACTCTACCCATTCCACTCATCCCACTCATCCTCCTCACTCCCAATGCCTACCCACCAGTCCCATCTTCCTCCCATCCACTCCCTCCTCATAACTCGCACTATCCGAACCCCTATCCGAATCCGTATCCGGAAAACTCAAATCACTCCGTAGAGTCTCGACGTCCGCTTTGTCGCCTACGACTGTCGTGTCGTCGTCGCCGAAGGAGTAGCGTGGGTTGCGAAGAGGGAGGCGTGTGGGGCGGGAGCTTGAGGCATTGTTGTTCCTGTTGTTGGTGGTGGTGGTGGGGGTGTTGTAGTTGGTGATGTAAGGGTTGGGGTTGTGTTGGGGAAATAAAATGGGGATTTTAGGTGGCGGCGGCGGTGGTGGCACCGGACGACCAGCGTACGTATCCGGATAACGATGATGGATACCCTGGGGTGAGCGCGGTAGAACGTCTAGTTCAACAGGATAGGGCGGGTACGCTGTCATACCATTATGACTCGTATCCGGCATCCTCGCTGGCATATTGTCAAGCTCAACCACCCTCCTCTCCCCTTCCTCTCTTCCTGCCCCAACCCGCCCAATCTCCTCATTCGAGCTCGAAAAACCCGACCACAACCTCGGTATCGGGTGCCCCGTCCCATCATTCCCATTCCGCTGCAGCACAGCATCCAGGGGGCCGCTGATAGTAAGCTGCTTCTCTGCTTGTTCTGCTTGCTCCTCCTCCGGCGTTCCGCTTGTGCCGTCTAGGAAATTTCCTTTTGTAGGGGTCCTGATGAGGAAGGTTATTATGAAGATGAGGGCGAGGGAGCCGAGGAGGGCGCTGATGGCGATGGATGCGGGTTCGATGCTAGGTGTACGTGAAGAGGGTGAAGAGGGGAGGAGGCCGGGAGGGGGTAAGAGATAGAGAGTTGGTAATGGGGTGGGTGGTGTGGAGGACATGGGGGAGATTGTGATACTAGTGATAATATAAGGTGGGAGAAGGGAAGTTAGTCTGTCTGCGGTGTTGGTGGTTCTGGGATATCAGGATATAGGAGTGTGTACTTGGTGATTGATTGGTACAAACGCTGTTATCTGCACTTCACGTCTGCAGCTCTGGCACGGTGTTGTCTGTGAATTTCTACCGACAATCAGAAAAACGGGGATGAGGATACGCTGGAGAAAAGATCGTCCCAGTCGGCTAAATCGAGCTGTATCGCATCGTTGATTTGCGAAGAAGGGTGGTGCTCTTGCAAGACACTCGAGGGGGAATCGTTGAACGTCTCCAGCGCAATTTCCTTGTCCACACCTTTTAAGTTCTCTTGTCCCATAATCCCAGCATCTCGATACCTTGCTATAACCTGGAGGAGAGATTCGTACAGTTTCGCTGCTGCGAGTGAATCTTCTCTCGCATCCGCTATCATCTGCAGTCCTTTCGCCAAATCATTATCTTTTTGTAGCTCAGCTTGCAGTTCACCGGATCTGTTGAGGCAAGCATCCATGAGTAACGCAATAGTGGCAATGAAGATACTGTACAGACCAGCTGGAGGACGCTGGGGGCGGTGCGCGAAAGGGTGACGTGACTGTAAAAGTTTTGTTTCGAGGTAGATGAGTTGGCTGGCTGAGTATAGACAAGCGGTGCGGGAAGAGGGGCTCGTTGAGATGTTCATAGATGCGGATGACCGGGCGAGGGAGGTGAGGTGCAGTTTACAGCGCTGGGTGTGGATGAGCGTGTTGAGGAAGTAGGCTTGGACGAAGGTGTGGTTTGGCTTTTCGGAGGAAAAGGTGCTGTCATAGTAGTCTAGCTGGAAGAAAGCGGGCGTCTCGTGCATCATGTCCACGAGTTGTCTGTCCATTGCCATGAGATGAGCATCGCGCTTGAACGGATCTGATGTAATTTGATCGACAAAATTGCGTGAGATCTCTGCTAGATGGATGCGCTGGAGGAAGTATGACATGTCTGTGTGCTGGGAAAGTGGCAGAGATGGCTGGGGCCCGACAGCAAGTAGATCTACGTCATTGATGTTTAGGGGCTTGTTTACGTTCATGTGAAGGGGACTGGATTGGTATACGCCTTCGCTGGGACCGCCGTATCTTGCTGCAAGAAGCCTGTGCAAGTCTGTCAGTCTACTTTATACCATCAATGTATCAAGTCTTCTCAATTCAACGTACCAGTCCGTAGCAGTCAGATACCACCAAACACGACGGCCAACCTCTGCTTTGAGCGTCCCTGCCGCATCGACATTAGACACATGATCGATCTGATGAAGACCCATTTCCCGACCCAGCAACAAGCCAGTCGATATCAAGGAGCGGTATCGTAGAGAGACACCCTCTATATTACACAAGACGTATGTTAGAATGATGATGCCTTGTATAGCCTCCAAAGCCAGCAAACGTCCCTCTTGCAAAGTCTCAAGCACCGTGTGTGTCGCCTTGACCCAAATAGACGTCTGAGAGCGCGCTTGGGTCGAGGACATAAATAGAGGACGTTCTCTGTTTAGTCCATCCGGTACACTCCATACATGCGTTGTATGAGCGATGATACTTAGCAGTAGAACGACTTTGCTGGGATGAACAGGCTCACCGCTTTCGATTGGACGGTAAATTTCGTCGAGGACGGCTGGTAACGAGGGGGTGTGCGTTACGTGTTGAATGTAGTTGAGCTCGGTGATGTAAGTGTCAAGGAGTATGGTGGCTTCTTCCCTTAGTGGGAGCCATATACATGGTGTTAGTCTACCGAGTTGCGTTGTGTAGCTCAGTGTTGATGGAATTGTGCGGATGTGGCCGATCTTGAAGACGATGTGGTTTGTGGTAGGCAGTTCGAAAGAGCTCTGACTCATTGAGACACCTTCGAGATGTTCCACCATGTCTCTCGTTTGCTGGATCTCGGAAGGCCGGTACCCCTCGATTTCGTCTCGAGCGGTTCCAGAAACGATGGCTGTTCGGCCAATATCGTTGGCGTCATTGCCCGCCTGCGGAGAAAAGGCAGTCTCTCGTATGATACGTTCTTCGAGCTCCTGCACACGAGCCTGAAGTGCATCTATCTCAGCCTGCATATCAGGTTTTCCGGCTGAAGAGAATGGTGTCTGGATGTTCTCATATGGCTGTTGCTGTGTGAGCGAAGCCCCGATCGAGACGGGTGTCTGAGGGCCTTGAACTTCGCGTGCCACCGGGGTAGGATCGAATTGACATGTCCTTCCTCGTGACCTGCAACTTGTGCATGGCAGTGGTCGATCACAGCGAATCTTGCGCGACCGACAGAAGTTACAGGAGTATTGTCCTTTGCGATTGGAACGTTCTCGCTCGCCGGAAGCTGGCATGACGGTTCTTGAAATCCTGGTAGACAATCGCAATGAGAGAACAGTGGCAAAAAATCAAGAAACATATTCTCTAAACTGGGGAGGAAGATGGTTGGTCACATGAGGTATGTCTGCAGGTGAGTGCCAAGCATACCGCGGGTATTCCGCGGAATACCCGTCGACGGAGAAGCGATGCTGACAGCATATTCCAACCTGGGACTACGCCACTATGGTCACAGAGTCGATTGTCGAAGGATTCAGGAACAGGTAAATCTAGAACGAATTGACCCTGCAAACAGCAAGGATTTCATAGGAGCGTACTTTCCAGTGCTTCGAGAGGGTGGCGCTTTACGATCTCCGTCGTACGGGCCTGCTGTTCTTCGCTCACAAATATGAACGAGCCGATATGGAGCTGCAAGTAATACATGTAACAGGTCCGACGCTATCGAGATCCGTGTAATAACAGGACAGATGCGAATGTTTAGATTCAGTGATGTGATGCGGAAGTGGCGAGCAATGGCAATGGCAGTGGCGAGACCAGACGCCGACATTCGCACCAGTCATGCTCGCCAAGACGCAGCTTTCGTCTGACTCGTTCTCAAAATAATTCCACCCTCCACTTCCACCACATCTTCCCCTCCACCACTCCACCAATGTAACCGATGTCATTCATCCCCCGCCATGCCTTCCCACAAATCCCATCGCTGCCCCGGTCCTACTTCCTGGGCCACCACAAAGCCGGCCTGGCAAAGATGAAATCGCTCCTCACCTCCATCGACCTAGTAATCGAATGCCGCGACTACCGTGTCCCACTCACCTCGCGCAACCCTCTATTCGAAGATGCGCTGGAAGGAAAAGAACGAGTCATTGTGTACACGAAGAGGGATCTGGGTGGAGGATCGCGCGATAACCGGAATGAGGATGTCATTGCGAAGTGGCATCACCCTACTACGACGATGTTTGTGCGGAACGGGAAGGAAGCTGAGGGCGAGATTAGCGGACGGAAGAGCGTGATCAAGCTTCTGGACATCCTGCGTGAACATGCGCAGAAGAGGTGGAAGCTAGTCGGCCACCGCGTCATGGTAGTAGGCATGCCCAACGTGGGTAAATCGACACTCCTCAACGCCCTTCGCGCACAAGGAATCGGTCGAGGCAAAGTCGCAGCCACGGGTGCACAACCGGGTGTAACGCGCAAAGTGAGCAGCAGCGGCGTGAAGATCATACCGAGCGAAGACGACATGGAAGCAGCGGAGGCAGCGGCGAAGAAGAAGCTGCAAGGCGTGGGCGGAGGCGTTTATCTGCTTGACACACCCGGTGTCTTCATCCCATACGTCCCCGACGCAGAAGCCATGATGAAACTAGCGCTCTGCGGCTCCGTCAAGGACACCATCATCGCGCCTGTTATGCTCGCGGATTACCTGCTCTACCACCTGAACCTCCACTCGCCGTCGCTATATTCCGAATACGCGTCGCCTACTAACGACATCATCGAGCTCCTTACTGAGATCGCGAAGAAGACTGGTAGACTGGGCAAGGGCGGGGTCATAGACACGGAAGCGACGTCGCTGTGGATGATTCAAAAGTGGAGGCAAGGCAATATGGGACGCTTTCTGTTGGACGAGGTGGATGAGAAGAGTTTGGTGAAGGCGAAGATTGATGAGGAGGGGCTTGCGCCTAGTTTTAATCAGGCGAGGAAGGCGGAGCGGGAACGTAGGAGAGAGAGGAATAGGGCTAGGGGGGAGAAGTAGGATGGTGAGGCGGAGTGTCGGTGGGAGTGTCGGTGGGTGTGTGGCACGGGTTGCGCAAAGCGTCTAGTACAGATGTTTAATGTGACCACGGCCTAATCGAACCACGGCTTCGAAGGCATGTCCGACATACTCATGCTCTGCAATTGTTCTCTACCGTCTTCATAACAAAAGACGGTACAGTTGGCCTATAAGTCAGACCGAAGTCCTCATCTTACAACGCAACAACCCCAGCGAAGTCATCAAATTTTCCTTGAAATCCTTCTTTCCCATCCTCCAAACAAATCTGGGCGTAACACCCCATCTTCTTACACAGCTCCACCAACAAAACTTCCCCCTCACATGCCTTACCCCACTCCAAGTCCATCAAAAACCAAACCACGCAACACAGATACATCAATCCGCTCAAACAGCCCCCACCGGACCCCCCACATCAGTTCTACCAAGCATCCTATTATACGGCGGCGGCTCATCATGATAAGGCGGCGGTTCCTCCGTGTGAACAGCCAGTTCGTATAACCTCGGCGCAGCATCTAATTCGTGGTATGCCAGCGGTCCCGGCCCAGCTTCGAATACATTAGGAGGTTCGGTTGGAGCAGCCTGCCAATCCGTGACTACTTGCACGGGTTGTGTGCAAGCGATGCCGGACCACTCTCTGTCCGCACATCGACCCGTGATCTCGATTTGAAGCTCGTATTCTAGGTTTAGGCCGTAGCTAGTGAAGCTGGGTGCTATGTTGCCATCCTTTGCGAGTTCGATGTTCGCCACGTCGAGCAGGTTGAGGCCGTCGTAGAGGGGCTCGCCGTCACCTGTTTCGTATTTGTGGTCGCAGAGGACGATGGTGCGGCGGTCGGTGTGGTTGGTTACTCTGCTGGGGTGTTTGAAGAAGGCTTCGTTGGGGAGGAAGACGTTGATTTTTGCGTTTAGCTGGACTTTTAAACGCCGGATGAAGAGATCGGGTGGGGAAGGCAGCGATTCCGAGCGTTTGGTATGTTGCACTGTTACGATAGCTGGGAGGGGGGATCCAATGACTAGGATGCTGGGTGGAGTGGCGAGCACGTTGAATTGGGCGTAAGGGATTTCTGCAAAGGACTCGATGCCGAAGAGGAGTTCTTTGTCGGCGAGTTTGTCTTTGAAGCGGCCGAGTTTGCTGGAGTTTTCGCCGTAGTTGGGGAGGAGTTTGCGGGTCCGGATTAGCTTCGCTGCGCTGCAGTGTTTGGGTAGTTTGGTGCCGAAGTTTAGGTCGGGTTGCTGGAGGGAGCGGTCGTAGGGGGGCGCTGGTGGCATGTAGGTGATTTCTTGTCGGACTCGTACTGGTGGTGTGCCGGGTAGATCGGACTCCATGTACGCTTCTAGGTGATATACGACCCGTGGACTTGTGGGCATGGGACCGTTAAGCGTTGGAGGTAAAGGGAATCCTGGAGAATGCTGGAAGCGGGGATGGTTCCATTGGTCCCCTGGATGAAGCCATACTCTACCTAAACGTAGGCGTACGAAGTCAGTACATGTCTCACATGCAGTTTGTACAGCGATTATTCTTACCAGCGGGAGGCGGTATCGTAGCATGGTTTCCGAATGTGAAGGAAAAAGGCAACTCGACTCTTGCAGGATCCCTCGCGTTGTTGGCGCGAAGGTGGAATTCATCAGCTGCGATTTCGTGTATATAGAGAAATTGCGAAAGCCCATAGAACTCGAGATGCACGCTTCTTCCATGGGCATCTTCAACGGCAGAGAAGCCTTTTAGACTTATGCTTATGCGTTTAGGTTGTGATGTGGGCACCACGATTAGCTGGCCTTGTACGCAGTCCCCGCTTGTGTAGGTCGGTGGCGGACTGAGCACTTCGATGTAGACGGGATTGTCTCTGCGATTAGCTCGGCTGCCGGTCGCAGCAATTGTTAATACCATGATCAGCTGATGGACGATGGATGACTGTAAGACAAGAATAGGAGAATAATTGTGGTTATGGAAAACAATGGCATTGTACAAGGCTACCCACGGGGTCAAGTATCGACGGCGATGTCGCTTCGGTGCCGCCCCTGTTCCTCGGGACCTGCCATACCAAGCCCTAGGGTGTCACGAGTTAGAGCCGAAGTTCCATCTTGGTATTCAAACCCGGGTTTGATTGTCCTGGACGCCCTATGGGCCTAAAGACCCGCGTATCAGCACCGGTGGCTCAGCCTCGATGCTTCGACAAGCAATGCTCGCGAGATCGCCGTCAAATCTCCGTCTGTCAGGCCTGCCGTGGTGTTGCAGGTGTCTTGCGCGATGACGAGGCGCTTTGTGGTGATGCTCATTGGTGGTGTTGGCGGCGCCGGGGTCGTGCCGTCATCGATGGAGGGCGCGACTCGCGACTTCTGGACTTTTTGACCCTCTAGCAGCCCTCGCCCGTCCCAACCAACACGGCCAGCCATGTCGTCCAGCTACACCTGCACAGCCTGCTCCAAGGCCCTCTTGAGGTCCTCTACCTCGCTGCTCCAGGTACACAGCCACAACCCCCTCCCCAAAGCGGATAATTGACTCTCGTAGCGAACGAATCGAGCGTCTCTGCGCCAAGCACGTCGAACAATCTCCACCACCTCGCCCACCGCCTACCATGCCTCGCAATCGCTGTCAGCAGATGTCAGGCCCGAAGCGATCAAGAAGCCGCATCCCGCTGTCGCATCCGGCGTGACTGGCCTCGCCCAGAAGCTGCGCGAAAAGGCACCACTCATGACCGAGACGTACGTCGCATACGGCGCAACACGAGACCTCATCAAGGAATGCACAAAGCCCGGTGAATACAAGATACCCCAAGCGCTGCTAAAGCGGGGCGAGATACCCGTCGACGAGAACGGTGTGCACCTGGGCGAGGCCGAAGGGTGGTGGTATGACAGTAAGTGCTGGAAACAACAATACCCAGACCCTCGCTAACACATTTTGCACAGCCCTCGGACTCAAGCCAACCTTTTCGAATTGGGCCCAAATCACCTTCATCCACATATACATGCTACAAGTCCGCTTCCGCATGTTCCCCCAGTCACACGCACCAGTATGGATCCAGCACCTCACCAACCAAGCCTTCTACGCGGCCGAGGACCGGCTGGTCATATGGCACAAGTTCAACGCCAATTCGCTGCGTCAGAAGCACCTCAAGGATATGTTTTCGCAGTGGCGGGCGGTGCTGCTGTCGTACGACGAGGGGCTGATGAAGGGCGACGCTATGCTTGCGGCGGCTATCTGGCGTAATCTGCTCGGCGCAAAGGAAGATGTTGACTTTGAGAAGCTGGCACAGATTGTGGGGTATATGAGGAGAGAGCTCAAGAGGCTGGATAGTGCTACGGATGATCAGGTCGCGGATGGGACGTGGACGTTCCGTGGTAGTCCCGGGGACGAGGCGCCTGTTGTTAAGGCGCCGAGTAGGATGATGGCGGCGGAGACTTCGAAGGCGTGATTTATGAATGGCACGAACGGGATGTAAGAGAAGAACCATGTATCAACAATATGTATATATCTTATGAGAGATGTGATATGGAAACAAGCCTTGTCATATTCGTCCCCATTTCACTCGTGTCCTTGCATACTCAAGCTTAGCGCCTTCTGCAACTCTTCCTCATCCCCACTTTCCGCAGTCGAAGCCCGCCCTTTGCCTTTCCTATGATGGTGCGCTTCCAGAAGACTTTGCTTCTTGACGTACGCCATCACAATCTCTTCTTCCGTCTTTTCCTCCATCGTCTTCTCACCTGATTTTTGTGACTGGAATTCACCTTGCGTAGTGCCTCCAAGATGACCGTAGTCATACGAGGGCGGCCTTTGGGCGCCTAGTGACCCATTACTCGTTGTAGCTGCTACTTGCTCAGATTTTCCTGCTCGCTCCCTATCGAGATCTTCACATGCATTGTCTTCGTTCATCTGACGCTGTTCCTGGAGACTTTGCGCCATGGCTTGTTTCAGCTGTTCTTCGAATTCCAGGGTTTCTCTTGAGTGTTGCTGCGCTTCGACTTCGCTGGAAGCCATCGCCTGGAGTAGTTCCTCACTGGATTCTGCTTCAGCGCCTGCGCGCGGCGTTTCTTGTACTGGCTGATGGATAGACCCGCTGGTCTCCGCCGCTCCGAGCGGTACTTCAGGTTCGGTACCCGTAGTATGCGAATTGTACTCCGAGGTGAGTGTACCACTTCCCATATCTTGGATAGAAGCATCCGCAGACCGGGCTGAATCCGCGGTAGACCCATCAACCGCCTTCCCCTTCCGCTGTGCATCCAAAACATCTTTCATCATCTCATCAAGCCCATCTTTCTTCTTCAAATACTTCTGAATCAACATCCACCTCTCAACAACATCCTGCTTCTCCTCCTCCCCACTCTGCACCCACTCCTGATACCCCTGCGCCGTCCTACTCGTAACAATATACGTCTGCACACTACCCCCGAACCTCTTCTGCACCTCCTTATGCACCCCCTTCATCATATAACTCGGTATCCCAAATAGCGCCGCCCCCGGCTTAGCTATAAAACCCCCAATACCCTTTCCTACGCCCTTGAAAAAGCCACTAGCGCCTTCTTTCTGGGCACCCTTCCAGGGCTGTGTAAAGAGACCAGTGACGCCGTCGTACCAGCCGAAACCAAATTCGCGGCCTATAGCTACCATACTGGATTTTAGATCGGAGACTTTTTCTTGCGGGCGCACGGTGGTGTCGTTCCAGAGCTTGGGCGCGTTGTGGAAGCCTTTTGTTATGCCGACGGAGAGTTCCATGGGGGATTGCACGCCGGCTTTTACGATGCGGCCGAAGCCTCTGCTTGTGCGTAGACCAGTGGGGCGGAGCATGTCATTGTCTTTGCTAGAGCTGGATGCTACGCTGGGTGTCCGAGATGCCGGAGTGGGGAGGTTGGGGGTAGTTTGAGAGCGGGCAAGCGGTTTCCGCTCCATTGCACTGGGATGGGGGTGTTGTTGTGAGCTTGATGAAGCGGAGCTCTCTCCTACAAGTGACGAATCGCTCCTCTTTGCGGCGTTCCGTACTGAGGTGTCAGACTGCTGTCTACTAGGTCCAAAAGGAGCTTGAACAGCCTTTGCCGTCTCTGAAGGCATCTCAGCTATCCCCATACTCATGCTGCCTAACGTCCTCAGTATTCCCATACCAAATCCAGAGATAGGCTCCAGAGGACCTTCATCGGTCTCATACTCTTGAGACCTGAATAGCTTGAGGTCATGGAAATCCAAAAGACCGGCATTGGCTAAAGTACAGGCGGCAAAAGCGCTCAGTCTGATTTGAGTGCGTTTAATGCGCCATACGGCAACTCGAGATGGCGCAAGGTTGCAGCGAAGTCGGTCGGGGTCGAGATACTGGTGGAATGACTGGGCGCCCATGTCGCTTCCTCGTTCCGTAGCAATCTTACTTGCAAGGTCTTTGGCACGCTCGAGACTTTCAGGCTTCAAGCAGAAGTTGATGGCGACTGCTAGTCTGTCCGATGTGAGTTGCCGGTAGGGAATTGGATCGGGGCCGGCACCAGCTCGTGCGATCATTGCGCCCCAGAAGGGTTGGTCACCGAAGAAGGGTATTACTAATGTTGGTCGTCCTAAAGTAAAGTCAAAAGGTCAGCTTTTGGTTGTTTGATTACTAAGTAGGCACATAGCTCACCTGCTGCGATACCTGCGGCAGTAGTACCTGCACCGCCATGATGAACGACGCATTCGACGTGCTTGAAAAGCCAGTCATGCGGCACATTGCCTAACATAAAGACGTTCTCGGGAACACGAAGTTCGTCCGCACCCATACCTCCCCAGCCCTTGGAAAGCAGTACACGTCTTCCGCCTGCAATCTTTTTTGTGGCCTCGAAAATGAGTTCCGTCATGGCATTCGGATCGTCCAGAACAATACTTCCGAATCCAATGTACACCGGCGGTGGTCCATCGTCAAGGAATTTCTGCAGCTCAGGCGTAGGTGTGTAATTAGAGGCCAGATTCAAGAAGTAGAAACCAGAGATGGTTATATGAGAGCCCCAGTCCTTCGGTTTCGGAATAAGAGCAGGAGACCAGCAGTATGTGTGAGGCACTTTGAGGCGCTGGAGCATTCCTGGGGCCCAGATCATACTCACGGGCTCTAAGCCGAGGCACTTAGCGCGAAACCGGTTGATGATGTCGCCCAAGCCTTGCCATGAGAGGGCTTCGATCATAGCGTAACTGATGTAGTTTGTGAGTTGAGTATCGGCGTTCGAGGACTGGATGTTCGCCAAAGGATGAGGGAAGGCCTGGGTGGGAGAGTATGGCATGGTGAACATGATATGAAGGGGTATTCCTAACTTCTCTGCGCAATGAATGTGTGCAAAGCTTGGGGGATTGGCAATGATACAATCCGCGACGAAGGGGAAAGAACCGGGGTCGTTTGCGAAGCGATCTGAACTGTGGTCGTCGGGCATGCCATCACCTGTTTCGTAGCACGATCGCCAGCAGCCTTGAATGTATTCCGCGACATCTCTTCTCCGGCGACCGACATCCCCGCTGGCCAGACTACGGAACCCTGGCATCAATCCAGGATTCTTGACCATGAAAGCCATCAGCTGGGAGGGGTCGCCACCGATGCTGAAAAACTCCAAGCCGTTCTCTTCTACAAACTTCTTGAAAGTAGGATGAGTTGCCAGACGAACTCGATGGCCATAGGTCTCCTTCAAAACTTTCCCGAGAGCAACAAAAGGTTGTACGTCTCCGCGCGAGCCAACAACCTGGATAACCACATTTAGGGCTGGGGGTGGAACTCCCTCTTTACCTCCCAATGAAGGTGGAATGCATGCAGGGGGAGGCGGGCTGATATCTTGGACGCTTTGAACGTGCTCACGCAAAGCTGGCGTAAAGACTTGGGATAAACGTCGGTTGAGCTGGTTGATGCGGATGTTGACACGGCCGTCTTCGGTGACGCTTGCGCTGGTGCCTAGGCCATCTTTTTCGTCCCGAATCTCGCCATAGATGTCGCCATATGGGGGAGGCGGAACTTCTTCGTCGGTCGCATCTGGAGTGACGAGGTCGGTCGTTCGCAAGGGAGCGTCATGTCTCGTTGATCCTGCGGTTTCAGTCTGGACGGCAGAAGCAGCAGCTTGTGCTTGTTGGAGCATTGCGTGCTGTGCATTGGCTTCCGGTATATAAGGGTCATCTTCTAGGCGAGGCTGCGTGGTCATGGTGTCAAGGAGGAAAAGCAGAGTGCACAATTCTGGCCGTCCCAGGTAGGTACGGCATCAGTGAGTATTTCATTGTCGAAGAACGGCTTACGCCCTGGTGGAGGCATCGCATGAGTGCATTCGTGTATACCAGTCGTCAACGATGCTAAAGTCACATTAGTGGTAAGCTTTGCGCCTGCGAAGGATGCGCATGCGTTCGCGAGAGGCTGAGGCAGGACCAATTAGGCAGACCTTGCGAGCTGAACACGGGAGGTTGGACCCCGTAATTACGTCATCGTCATCACCAGCCTCCATAGGCACGTATGAACCACAGTTGCGGTACTCATGCCATGAGTGTGTATTAATTAGGGGAAGCATGCGAGTTCCAGATTTCCAGCTTGAGTGCATACCAAAACATTAATGTCCAACATCATAACAGACGTTGCACGATACCGAAAAACAAGCTCGTCATAACCAACGTGCACAGCGCGTCCCAAACACCATGAACGCTCGCAATCGCACCACCAGTGAAATCCGCTAGTACACCTGTGGTGGTGCTCGTCGGCTGCCCGAACCCCCCGCTACCGCTGTTGATAGAGTTGCCGTCGTTGCCATCCGCGGTAACAGACGCGGTGATGGACATCGATCCCTCGACTACAACCACGGGTGTTTCTCCAGGAGTGAGTGAAATCTCGATGCCATTGATAGTAGTGATGGCACCAGGCATCAAGGTTTGACTGTTTGGTAGCAACAAGCCTCCGCCATCAGTCGCGGGAATGAAAGAGAACCCAGACGGAAGAGCACCCGGAGAAATCGTAGTACCACCGATGACTACGCTGCTTGCTGCTGCACCAACCGCTATCGTCGTTGTACCAGCAACTAAAGCGGAAGAATCGCGTGAGATGGTCATGGTGCCGATGACGGTCACCTCGCCTGGCTCCAGTTCCGACGCAAGCTCGCTGACATTGACGGTCGTTCCATCTATGACCACTGTAGATGGACCAGGTGTCTGAGTAGCTTCCAGTAGCGGAATGGTTTGGGTACCGCCGATGATAAGAAAAGAAGCTGAAGTGTCTCGAGAAATCGCAACGTCGTTGATGGAAGTCACTTCTCCTGGGTCAAGTTGTGTAGCGACTTGACCAATGTCAACTGTCGTCCCACCAACTACCGCAGGATCTGATTGAGTTACAAAACTCGGTGGAGGGAGCGCAAAAGTCGTAGTGCCGCCTATGACAACGAACGAGGCGGAAGTATCGAATGAGATTGCAACGTCGTTGATGGTGGTTTGTTGTCCAGCAGTGATCATGCTCGTAGCACTGCCAACCATGATAGCCGAGCGCGATGGATCAATTATAATAGGGCCAACACCAGGTAAGACTGTAGTCTGTGTTTCGTCTGGACGAGAAATTACCGTGGAAGCCGGAGGGTTGCTGGGTAACGAAGGAAGTACAACCAGAGGTGGCACAGGACTTGTTGCTGTCGGACGGCCTGGAAGAGTATTTTGAGGCAATGCAGGAATAGTTGGTTGGTCAGTCGTACTAGTCTGGAGATTTTCTGGGGTTGTAGTTCTGATGATTGAGGGCCGGGGAGCCAATACTACTGTAGACGTACTTCGATCTGGTCAGCTGGTAGTGTTACTAACATAAACTTGCTGCTTACCTGGATTCTGAAATGGTAGGCTCCAAGATGGCTGGATCAAGTTGACCATAATCGAACAGTGTTGAAGCAGTTATAACGGTCTCGGTGAATGGAGGTGCAGCACTCGATTGCGGTGCTCCCGGCAGCACTATCGTCACGACGCTGGTGAATATTGTCGTCTGGGTAGTATTTGGGCAGTCAGTCCGTGGCTCTGTTCGAGTTGTCATCATCGCGATAGAGCTATTCAGATAATGATTTGTCCTGCGAAAGATAAGCACGCTGCTAGTCCAAGCATGGTGAACCTACATGAAAGTCGTCGCAGCGGCCTTCGCCGCCCTTTTCTCAAGGGCTGAATCAGATGTAAGTCTCATTCCTTCGTCGGATGTAATTGGCACTGCCTGGTCGGATGTAACTCCCACTACCTCGGTTCTGGTCGATGTTGTGCCGTTTTTGAAAGGGGTAATGTGGACGATTATGGAAGCGGTTACAGTAACTACGTTTGGGGGAGGGGGAGGGGTAGCAAATTCGGTCGGGGTTGAGGTGACAGTCGACACGTAGGTGAGACTAGTAATAAACGCGGGACATTCCGACGTTGGTGTCAAAGAACGAGCGAAGTTTACCGCGACGCCAGGACCTGTATCTCATAAGTCTATATCATGTGTTTCTAGCCAGAAAGTTACCTGAAAAGAGCAAAACAGCAAGTGCAACCACTCTCATCCGGCAAAGTAACTCCGTGTTCGCGATGGACCACCACATGTTGAAAAATACGAGATTTTGGGGGTTGTCGATGTATATATCAAGCTACAAGCAACGTCTTAGACAAAACGAGGACGAGTGGTCGAAGGAAGCCGGCTAGATACGATATCTTCTATGGCGTGAGCTGACCGGTGGGCGACCAGCCAACATTTTTCAGCCTTGCGACCGGCCCCCAACCATGGTCTGGGCACGACCGTCGTGGTTGGCTAGAGTGTACTCCAATGCCTTAATCCGGCGAAATACGATAAACTTTGATTTTCTCTGCAGGCTACATGGTGTAAGGCTTTACATAGCCCACCAACCATATCATGGCATGCCTGGTTGTGGAGAAGGGCGAGACCAGCCGCAGAACTCCGGTAGTAATCAAGTATAGGCGCGTCGACGCATGCGGAGAATCGCAGTTCTGTTGTTATCCTCAATCGTCGCCACCTGCAAAATACCATTATCCTTTACAGCCTGGGGACTTTGAAAAGATGGCGGAAGCACTATCGCTCGCTGCGTCAGGGGGCTGGTTTGGTAACGACGGAAGCTGGTCAACGTACGTCTTCCGCATTTTGTTTTACATGTATCCAGGCCTGAGCTGACAAAAATAGGTTCCCGGTTCAAGTAGGGACGCCACCGCAAACATTTAATGTGCTACCGGCGACTCAGGCTCAGAACATCTGGCTTCCGATTGCCGATGAGTGTGTCAGACTGCAAGGCGAATCAGCCTCGTGCGGCAGCTCTCGCGGTGCAGCTCCGTTCCAACAAAGTCCAAGTCCTGGGTTCCAAGCGAACATGTCGTCGACCTGGGAAGCCATCGGTCTTTATGAACTCGGAATGGGAAGGATCCACGGAATCACCGGGAACGGCCTCAATGGGTTTGATAGTGTTGCGCTGTATAACTTCACATTGGAACATCTGGCGGTCACCGCGTATGCCTCGCCCGGCTTCTGGATCGGACAGATGGGACTGTCGCCGCTGCCATTAAACTTCTCAGAGACAATCAGCTCGCCATCTTTGATCTCAGCTCTCAAGGATGATGGTCATATACCCAGTCTGACGTATGGATATCAGGCTGGCGCCCCGTATCGCAAAACGAAGATACCTGCCAGCCTCGTTCTTGGAGGCTATGATCTTGCACGTGCATCAGAGCCCTTGACAATTGACATCAACACCGACATGTCCAGAGCTCTTACAGTCGGTCTCCAGGATATCATAGTAACCGACTCATTGAACGGAACACTTTCGCTGGTTGACAATGAGCGAATCCTTGCTCCGATCGATTCGTCCATCCCAGAGATATGGCTTCCGAAGTCTGTCTGCGATCGCTTTGAGTCCGTATTCGGTCTGGAGTATCATGAGAGGTCGGGCAGATACGTCCTCAGGGATTCGGCTAGGGATCGACTTCGGGGACTCAATCCCACCTTGACGTTCACTATTGGTACCAACGCCGTGACTGGTGGCAACACTACTTTGATCCAAATCCCATATGCGGCTTTCGATCTGCAGGCAGGGTATCCAATCTTTGCGAATGCGACGAACTATTTTCCGATTCGAAGAGCTGATAATGAGAGCCAGTACGCCATCGGTAGGGCGTTCCTACAAGAAGCTTACATCGGCGTTGACTTCGAGAATGGCATATTCAACGTCAGCGCGGCGAGATGGGATGGTGGGGAAGCTGATATAGTAACTATACCAGCTGCTGACCGTGACTCCGAGGTAGCCCGCGGGCAGGGCATCTCTGGTGGTGCGATAGCTGGGGTTGTCGTGGGCTGCGTAGCAGCGATCGTACTCTGTATACTGTGCGCATGGTTCTTTTTATGGAAACCTAGGCGAATGCGGAAGCAAAGCACAGTGCTGGTAGAAGAGAAGGGAGCTCACGACGCGCTAGATCCAGCTCCGGAGCTGACAGGTGTGACCTTTCACGAGCTGCCAGCCAAACACGGCGATAGCGAACTAGAGGAGATCGTGACAGTACCGGAGCTGGGTAGGGAGGATCATGTTCATGAGTTGCACCCAGATTGCGTTCGATGAGGAGGGCTGCCCAGGTGGTGCCGGATGACACCTGCCGAACGAGAGACGCGCTGATGACTAAGCACGCTAGCGTGATAGCTCTCAGGGCTGTCGCGCTTCTGGGCCGCTGCGCCAGCTTTATACCACCTTTTTTTCAACATGTCATTTCTCAAACAATTTCGAAGCGAACGACTTCTTTCTCTTTACCTTACAGGACCTGGGCAAGCGGCACAATTCTCAGCCTCGTACTGGATCATGTCATCTCCTTTTACACTGTGGTCCACCGGGAAAGGAGTATATACCTTCTTGTCTCCGCGTCTAGTACATCCATACATCATTGAAGTGACATATTGAAGCAATTATAGTTATTTTGCGTCACATTTACACCACCTCAATATTCGTCCAATCCGAATTGCTCGATGATCGAAAAAGATGACCTCCACTAAAGACCGGCTAGACAATGTGAAATAACAGGAAGCGGTAGGTAAACACTATGTGGCGGATCGCGATTCATGATATTTCGTTCACAATACGACCTTCCCGGCTGCATGTGAACAGAATCATGTTTCTTCTCTTGGTCAGCGCAGCCCGTCACACAGGCACAACGCATAACAATGACGGTCGACCCACCCACACTCACGCTGTCCACCGCTCTCGAGGCTCGGCCATCGCCCTCTGGCGAGAAGTGTGCTATCTGCCAGGAGTCATTAGATGACGCGCCTCCTGTCTACCATCCAGCAGATGAACATACATCCGATACAGATTGCCAGGCTGACATGGAAGCAGTCGTTACGAAGGTCTGTGGCGACAAACACTTCTTCCACCGAAGTTGCATCGAGTCGTGGTGGAAGTCCGGTAACCCTCATCTAAACACCTGCCCTATCGATCGTACACTTTGCTACGGCGA